AACGAAGCCTGGCCAGCTCTCGGCACGTACCGCAGAGCAAGCGTGGTCAGGTCCTTGCCGTGTTGATGTAATTGGTGAGACAGAATACATCACCCAGAGCTAGGTCTCATTTTATATGAATATTCAAAAAGCAGCAAAAACAGCTTTTAGCTAAACGAGAAGAGGATGGGTTAGCCAATAAACATTGCTGGGCAGCCTGGGTTGCATCTGAGGGAGCCAAGGCTGAGCCCGGGGCCGGCATACCACGCGCACACATGCGCTACAGTTGGTTTAAGATGGAAGTGTAATAAAATAATCCTAGGAAATAAAAGACTGAAAACCTATAAGCTGTGTAAGAAGAGAATTAGTTTATATATAAAAATGTAGAATTTTTTACAGAAAAGATAACGATCACAAAACAAGTAATACATTTTTTTAAAAAAATCAACAGTTGAGTGATGAATGGTTCATATATAATATACAATGAGTTTTTATAAATGGACTCGGAAAGACACGCAGTCTGTCAGAAAACTTGGCAAAGGATGTGAATGAGCAATTCATGTGTGAATCCACATGGCCAGGAAACCTATGGAAAGCAACGCTCGGGCTTCCCGGCAGTGAGTGAGCTCAGATGCCGCTGCCCTGCGGAGGCGGGATGGTTCTCGCTGAGTCAGGAAGGAGCTTCCTGTCTTGCGGGCTTCTCTTTCCTGCTTTATGGCCTTTTTTTAATTTTCCAAAAGAATAATGTTGGCTTTTACAATTTTTAACATTCTTAGAGATTTTTAATCTTTGTTCTGTGTCATGCTGTTTTATTTCATATTTTCTCTGAGTTAACTCTAGCAATACTGTTATTACTTAATAATTATAAGCTTATTTACTGTGAAACTTAATTTTCTTTTTTTGACACTCCCTGGATGTGGCTCATTTAAAAGATTGCTAGTCCCGGCATTTTTACTGGAGTGGCTGGTCTTATCATTCGATGTTTCAGATAAAATTTTCTTAAGATTGGTTTTAAAAATAAATTCTCTCTCTTTTAGTATCTAGACTAAAAAAAATGAAATCTGAATGAACATTTTTGATATAGAAGAGTTTAAGTCATGAATATGCACAGTGGTTTGCATCATGTAGTCTCTGTTGCAAGTGCAAACCTTTTTCTTTTGCTTATCTTCTTTGCGAGAATATACTTCACATAAGAGCTCTTTGCAAATTACACTTGACCATTGATTTTTTTAGTCCCATTTTCAAATAGTGAACACACTTGTAAGCTCATTTAGTTAATTTTTACAGCTTTAGAAGTAGAGTAGTCGCAGCATAGCCTATCACATCCCCATGGCGGGGTCTGTGGAACCGCACAGTGGAGCTGGCAAATAGTCAGTTATCTCTAGAAATAAACTTCTCTTCCTAAGTACTTTCCTTTTAATTTTTTTATCCTCCCCTGAGGCTTTGTTTTTAGTGATTTTTAGAGGGAGGAAGTAAGAGAGAGTGAGAGAAAAATCTGTGTGAGAAACATCGATCAGTTGCCTTCCTTATGCACCCAGACCGGGGGTGGAACCCGAAAACGTTTTGGTGCACAGGGAACAATGCTCCAACCAACTGAACCACCTGGCCAGGGCAGTGCTTTTTTCTTAGTACTTTTTTTATAATCCTTTTGTGAGAAGACTTTTTTTCTTTGCTTTCAGAGAGACAGGAAGAGGGAGAGAGAAGCATTGCTTGGTTGTGTCCCATTTGCGCTGGACCAGGGATCCAACCCATAACCTAGGCATGTGCCCTGACCAGGAAGTAAATCCAAAACCTTTGGTTATGAGGCGACACTACAACCCACAGAGCCACCCCAGCCGGGGCTGTAGTACTTTTATGACATTATTCACAGTAAAACTCATCCTTTGAAAGTATACAGTCCTTTGAATATTTAGTCTGTCCACAGAGTTCTGCAACCATCACCGCTCCCCAATTGTAGAACATTTCCTCACTCCAGAAAGAAATCCTGTACGACACCCAAAGTACATATCCTGACAAGAGACTGCAGATTACCTTGTGTGTCATATACGTAAAGAATAACACGGTCGAAAACATTTTATAGTTACAGAAGTTTCTGTCAGAATTTCCAGCTCACTTTCTGCTTGGTAGATCCATGTTTGGTGTTGCCCCGTTTCTTCTGTGTTGTTCTCCCCAGGTTTCAGGGGGCTGATTATTTTGTGTGTATGCGGGTGGGGGAGGGGGAGTCATGGTCACAGCCATGGCCTTTTAAGCCCTGCTGTTGGTCTGCAGGGCCCTGGCCGATATGAATAACGACGGGAGGATGGATCAAGTGGAGTTTTCCATCGCCATGAAACTTATCAAACTGAAGCTGCAAGGGTACCAGCTCCCCTCGGCGCTCCCCCCTGTCATGAAACAGCAGCCGGTGGCTCTTTCCGGTGCACCAGCGTTTGGTGAGTTTGAAGAGGAATTGGTTCCTATATTTCTTTGTATATTTAAAAAGTAAGTGTTTCCCTCTTTCCCCCCTCTCAGTTTCTAGCACTGTGAAATTCAAGGAGGTAATTCTGTCTGAGAAACGACGGCCTCAGGGAGGAAGGTAGCGCTGGAGGGGGAGCGAGGCCGCACTGGCCCTCGGACGAGGGGCCCCGAGTGGACGCAGGCGCCGAGCGGGCAGACCTGCGGCCCGCTGCGCGTCTCCTGTCTCTCTCCTGCTGTGACTGCGTTCTCGGCCCTCACGCCGTCCCTGCGTCCTTGCGGTTTTCTGTTTCCATGCATCTTTATTTTCCCTTGTGTATAAACAACTGTTTTGGTTTAAGGTATCTCAAAATATTTAAATTCACAGTATTGTGGCAATTGGCCACATGAAATTTTCTCAAAATAAAATGAAGCAGGGGGAAAAAAACAGTGTTTTCCCCATTTTAAACATAATTCTATAAAATCTTGTCTTTTAGCCAGATATTTTTCTTAAAAATCAGTCAGTAATGAGTTGACTAAGATCACCAACTATTCTGATTTCTCCTCTGTTCTCACCCTAGACTTTGATTATTTGTGGTGATTTAAAGAGTGCAGTGATAAGGTCACATCTGATTTATGGGAAAGTTCTCTCTGATAGATCTGATGACAGGTGATAAAATGAAGTAGATTTCGGAGGGGCAGTCGGTTAGTGACTCAGGTCCTCTCTGGTACAATTAACGATAAGCCGAGATAAATAAATGCTGTGGTTTTACTTGATAGATTTACTATTAAAAGCGAACTATGCATTGCTTTTCTGTGGTGAGAGTTAGCCACATGACTGGTTTTTATAAGAGGAAAGGTGCAGGCTCTGAGTTAGGCAAGTAGGACAGCGATCCAAGAGAAGGAAGAAAAACTCGGTCACATGTGGACAGAGGCCTAGGCGGGCACATGGAAGCAGCGTGGTCGGCCCCCAGCGGCCAGCGCCCTTGTCCCTCGTGTGTGCACAGGGCCTAGCCCTTCATTAACCAGCTTGCTTTGGGGGAAGTGGCTAAGAATCTCTGGAGGTCCCTGCGGCCACTGTTTCGTCGGGACCCATGTGTTTCAGCAGCTTCCCTTCTGAAACTGCGAGATGAGACCTTGTGGAGAAGGAGTCAGATAACCAGAGGCATCCCGTTTCCGCTTCTCACCTCGAGCCTCGCGTCAGCGGCTCTTCCTCTGCTGTTTGACCGTCTTCCCTTGCTCCGTCCTGCAAAGGCATTTCAGCCGCAGAGGCGCTGCGGATTCGTCGTCCGGCGGTGGCGGCCGCGCTGCCTGGCGGGCGTTTCCGTCCCAGAGGCCGCCTGCCTCCGCCTCTGGGGTGGCAGGGCTCTGCTCCTCCACCACCTCCCCCTCGCTCTCCTCGCAACCCCTTCTCAACGAGCTCTTTCCAAGAGGATAAGTGACGAGCACGTAGCAGAACATGAGACCAGTTGAAAGTGCACAGCCCTGTTAAGTGTGCCCAAGTGTATTCAGAGATTTGGTCTTTGCTAGTATTTTTATTTCCATGTCTCAGCTCACCCCAGGGTAAATTTTTTCCTTATACTCTGGCTACTTGAGAACAAGATTATTTATTACTATTATTGTTATTTTCTAATAATACTAAACATTTTCTGACCAGACATTTCCTAGCCCTTACACAGTAAGCCTTCATGTATAGTAGTTTATTTGGTACAACAATTATATTATATTATATTATATTATATTATATTATATAACATATCATGTTATATGAATGAGAAAATTGAGATTCCAAGAAGTTGAACAATTTGCTTAATTAGACCATATTTCTAAAAAGGGTGGTAGAGCTTGTCCAAGTAGAGCTTCTGCAGCCTCTCTGTTTCCTTATTCCCCACCTTTCCCCACCTTCATCGTCACCGAACCTCCTGGTGACAGGAGGCATCACCTCTCTCGGGCTCTGGGTGTGTTAATGGCGCTGTTGGCACATTGGCGCCCTGGGCCCTGTGACCGTTTTGTCCTGCTCCCTGGTGCGGATGAGGGCTGTGGCGTGTGGGTGCTGGGACTCGCTTGAGGCACCCAGCACAGCCCTTCTTTCCGCCAGACCCTCCTATTTCAAGAGAAGTTATCATTCTTTTGTTTGCTTTTTAAAAAATTGTATTTATTTACTTATTTTTGACCAGAGGCCATGGTTTCATTGAAGTGGACCAATATTTTTAAGCCCTAATTGTGTGTCCTAGTTGATTGGAACATGGTGATGAGCAAGACATCTTGGCTCCTGCCGCTGTGAGGCTACATGTCAACTGAGGGGAAGCGAGCAAGTAGATAAATAGATGAGGTAACAGAATAGAGACTAGTGGGACAGAATCCTCTGGGGAGATGACTTCTGAGCTGACGGAGCCCGCTGGAGGCAGGGCCTGGAGGGGCGATGCCGGCAGCCAGAGCGGAGCTCCGGCCTGGGCCCGGCGGGGCGGGGCCCGATAAAGGCCGGAGGACTTAGAGTTTCTCTTTCTAAGTGCATTTGAAAGGTGCAGGGAACTTTTAAGCAGGGAAACTCAACGATGGAGGAGAGATTGTCAAGAATGAAGACTTGATCCGTGACTGTCCCTGGCCCTGATTCATTCGTTAGCGCCCAGTGTGGCGGGAGGCAGTCACGCACATCATGGCCTGCGGTTCCTGGTGGCGATAGGCTCTGTCAAGGTACCAGATTTTCTGTGCGCTGGTTCCACACGGGTTAAAAAAAAACACACAAAACTTGACATAGTCAAGAGGGTTGGCTTCCAAAACACAGCCTATGATGGATGTGTTTATTTACAAATACGTAGAAAACATTCGTTCAGAGAAGATAGTCATTTGGTAAAAGGGCGCCGTCTGTGCAGGGGCCGTGCAGGAGCCGAGGCGGTCACGGAAGGTCAGGGAGAGCAGGGCGTCAGAGAGCAGCTGCAGGAGTGGCTCCTGGGATAAGAAGACCTGAGCTGTCTGGGGCAGGCAAGGTCCTGGGAACTCCCAAAACTGGCCCAGCGAGCCTTCCCTTTGGGACAGGCCCCACGCCTAGAGGAAGCGACTGCAAGGGGAATCAGAGTTGAGCAGGGCAGGGGCCCAGCTCCGCAAAAGGAAGGTCCCGACCGAGGAGGGGGCGGGGAGCGGACACTGGAAGTCCCGGGAAGCCACAGGCAGTGTCCACCAAGGCCAGAGCCCACACAAGTTATGATTAGGAGAGAAAGAGGATACAGAGCCAGATAACACCCCTGTGGACAGCGACAGCACACCAGCAACCCACTCCTGCAAAACGGGCTCATACTGAAAAACGGCGCAGGTCCTAAAAGACCTGCCTAAACCAGCATTGTAGAGCGTCAGCAGTACGGTGGCAGGACTCAGGAGAGAGCGAGACAAAAGAAAAAGTCACTTCAGAAATGAAGTATGAACTAGGGGCAACACAAGTGATACTGTCTGGAATAAACAGGAGGTAAAAAGAGGACGATTTCAAACAATTAAAAGGAAATGAAAAAAGATAGAAAGGATTTGAGAAAAAGTGACAAACATTGCAAGCAAAGGAAGTTGACTATATGGCTCGTTGGAGTCCCTGAGAAAAAGCAAGGGAGTAGAACACATGCTAAAAACTAGTTCAAGACAACTTCCTCGCAATGAAAGATTTGAAACAGTATTTGAATGGGAGTAGCATGTGTCTGAGGATATTGACTTGGAAAGACCAACACTAAAACATATCCCAGTAAAACAAAAAATTATTCGGGCATGTAGAAAAAGAAAGCACATGACTTAGGAGAGAGAAAATTAGAGTATTCACAGACTTTTTTCCAGCAGTGCTTTATGTGCCAGAAGAAAAATGGAGTAACATGTTTAGGATCCTCAAGGAAAGAAGGAACCAAGAATTTTATGGCCAAAAAAGCCACATCCACCAGTGTTTTAACTCTCTGAACACTTAGTATCTATAATTCAGTTGAATTCCGACACAGTCTCTGTGGAGCTAGCGTCAGATTCCACAGGTGAGAGAGCACATTCTCACAAGACTGCCCTCATGAGAGTAACAAGTGGGGGGGTCCCCAGGGTCCCATACTTCTGTGTGAGTTCTCCCCTTTTGTATAATTTGCTAGAAGAGCTGACAGAACTGGGGAAGCGTTTAGTCGCATTTACTGGCGTGTCATAAAGGATGCCATGAGCAGTGCAGATGCACAGCCGGATGAAGAGTCCACAGGGCGGGGCCTGGCGGGGCCCTGAGCTCAGGAGTGTCTGCGAGGTCGGGGGCACCTCCCTCTACCACGTGGGTGTGTTCACCAGCCCGGAGGCTCGCTGGACCCCGTCGTGTAGGGATTTTTAATGGGCGTTTCATTATGTAGGCGTGATGGGTGCAATCACTGGCCATTGGTTGTCTCTGCCTCCAGCCGCTCTCTGCAGCGCCGAGGTCTGTGTGGAGGTAGGGTGGGAGGGGACTCTGTGTCCTCTAACCATGCCTTGACATTGCTGTCACCAGCCGCCATCCTGCAGCTGTTTAGAAACACCCCTCTGCCCCGCACCCGCCATCTCATTCAGATACAGACAGTCATGACTCTAGACATTCCAAGGGCCTGAGAAGTTCTTGTGTCAGGACCCAGGGACCGAGACCAGATACTCTAAGCAAAGACGTACGTCCCCATCGGCCAGAAGCACGGGGCTTGGGGCGCTGATGGCAGCCAGGTGCTGGCGAAGGCCAGCTGTGCGCGTTTCTCCCTGTATCCCAGGCTCGCAAACTGAGACAGGGAAACAGGAAAGGAGGGAAACCCCCCTTTTGGCTCAATTGTTTCTTCATTTGGGGGTGGACCACTTCTCCAAGGAGAAGCTTCCCCATCAAATGTTGGCTACTCTGAGGTATGGCGTGTAAAGAAAAGAAAGAATAAATATTTGATTTAGTTTTCAAAATAAATTGCCCAATTAGGAGTTTTTGGCTTATTTGTTTTAAAAATGCCGTTACGCGTTCATGAATTTAATTCTCCTCGGTGGCTTTTGGTCCATTGCAGTCGTTATTCTGACTGATCCTTAACTCTGGCCAGTGGGTCCCTCTTCAGGTTGGGTTTTGATCCTTGACATAATTTTTGGTGCTCTTCAAAGTGATTACCCTGCATTCATATTTTAAATGGGAACGTGTTACATGTGGAAAGTGATTTTGTTCTCCAGGCCATCCTGGGTTAATTGTCATTGAATGTTGAAACTCATTGAATGTGACTCGGTGTGAACTCTGTTGGCATTTCTTCCTTCGTAGGTATAGGAGGCATCACCAGCATGCCACCGCTCCCGGCTGTTGCTCCAGTGCCAATGGGACCCATCCCCGTGGTCGGGATGTCCCCGCCCCTAGTGCCCTCCGTCCCTTCAGCAGCAGTGCCCCCCCTGGCCAACGGGGCCCCTGCCATGCAGCCTCTGCCCGCGTTTGCTCACCCTGGTACGTGACCCGGTGAATCTGCAGGCCGAGCTGTTGCCGCTTGGATTCTCAGTCAACCGTCTGTCTTCACCTTCGGATCATATCTAAGTGCTGTTTTTATTCCAGAAGGAAATATCTTCATTTTTTTCATTTAATTTCTCGGTTTTTCAACATACCAAATGGGATGTGGAAGGCTAGAGAAAGGGGAAGGGGAGTGGAGGTAGGGGACTCTGGGTACCACTGTGTGCAGAGGTGGACTCAGCAGCTAAAACCAAGAGCACAGTTTCCCTTCAAGGGCTTGACAGAAGCAACTGGAGTTTGAATAGTGCTTGAACATTTTGTGTTTCCGTGTATCTGTTACTGCTTTTCTTTGGCTGCTCTGAATTGCTAATAAACAAGTCAGTCCCTTCAGAGTAGAATTATGGGGCTGGGGTGAGGGGAAGGAGGGAGAACATTGCTTTTTGTTGTTATTGCTGAAGAGGTGGAATGAACCAGGCAGACATGGGAGGAATTCTATTAAAAGACTAAATAGATGGAGGTCATAGTATACATACGTACGCACTAAATTGAAGAGAATGATTAAAAAGTTCCTGGTTTTTATTCAAAGTTTTTTTCCCTTTAATTAAAAGAATGCATCAAATGTAGATGTAGATAATCTTGATCTAACAAACCTTACTGAATTCACAGCAGTAAGGAAAGTACATTTTTTTTAAAGTATTTTGAATATGTTTGAGTAAATCCAGTGGCGATGACAGCGTGGCCTTTGGTATTATATCTGCATCATTATTCCTGTGCCCAGCCTCCTGGACTTATCGCATCTGTCAGGATGTGTCTTCTAAGTTATAGCCAAAGAATGTAAATGTACCCCTTTTTAAAAAATGTCCTTGTCATCACATGTAGTTCACCTTTCATCTTTGACCGTGCCTGCAGATGTGGTGGCAGCCGGGAAGGCGCGTGCCGTTGTTTTCCCAGTCCTGCCCGTGACCCACGCGCGGCCTGGTCTTCTCCTGAGGCCAACGGCAGGTGCCGCAAGGCAGTAGGCGGGGGTGCAGGGCTCATCCCCCGGGGTTCCGAGTTTTCCCCCTGACGCACAGCGAGACGCCTCAGCGAGAATCAGACACAAAAGCCGACCCTCCCTAGCGTCACTTGTCATCTGGCCAGCACTGCGAGTCTGTGGCTTCTTGGCTGTGACGTCTGAGACTCGTACTTCAGCTCCTTCAGTGCAGTCAAGAACAGGCCATCTGTGTATTTAAGCTGTTCCTTCTTTAACTGTTGACAGATCCTTTAAAATATGATAGCTAAATGTGCAGTGAAAAGTAAAGGTTTGTGGATGGAAACATGACTACTTAGGGAGGTGACTTTGAGTAGGAACAAGTCAGTCTAGAAACATTTGGGGCAAGAGGGTGGGAGGCGTGGCAGGAGTAACTGTTTTGAGTCCAGGATGGGAAAGGAGGTGGAATAGTTCTGCCCCGGACTTGATGACTATGCGTGTTAACTTTTGTAAATAGGGAAGAGCTTCTTATCTTTGTAGAATTAAAATTATTCAACGTTTATTTATTTTTACAGCAGCCACATTGCCAAAGAGTTCTTCTTTTAGTAGGTCTGGCCCAGGGTCACAATTAAACACTAAATTGCAGAAGGCACAATCATTTGACGTGGCTAGGTAAGTAAGTTCACTTGTTTTCCAATGGGTAGCTTGGTTCAAGTCATTGTGATTAACTCATAAATGTGAAAATGAATCCACTAAAATGTTCTCAATTCTGGGGAATGTTAGCAGGTTTTATCATTTATTTGTTGTGGAGATGACAGAATCAGGATGACATTTCCTTTAACGGTTGTTTTTTTAAGAGGATAATTAATAGGTAGTAGTACATGTTTAAAATAATAAAATAGAACTCTAGGTATAAGGAGAAAAAGCAATTAACTTATTTTGTGTTAATCAGTAAAAATTGGTAAAATTTTTATGTGAAGATTAGAGCCATAACTGGCCTTATTTTAAATTCTAGCTCAGATAATCTTATGTAGTCTGTGTGAATTATTAGTAAAACCCTATTTAAGATTAATTTTTATGAAATGCATTATTCAGATTAGTGGATAGTTGTTATTAACCAAATATGTGACTCAATTTTGGCAAAGCTTGCATGATTTAATTGCTTATATTTTGGCCAACCTTGGTTTCATATTATCTTTCATATTTTTACTTTCTTTTACCCTTATTTTTTCCCTTGCAAATGGCTGCACTAATACAAAAAATTAAGTCCCTTTGTAAGCTACTTCAAAACTGTTGGAATGAAAAGGGAACGTAAGTGAAGACAGTCTGCCTT